TTTTCAAATTGCCTCCCCCATCCTGTGAAAATGTAATACCCCAAATATACTGAATATCTATTTATATACTGTATGTGTATCTGTGTTTTATGCATAAAAAGGAGTAAGATTCTTTTTCCTCCCAACAACCAATTTTTTCCTCTGTAGGGGCAATATCACCCTTGTTGAGAACGCAGGACCTACAGTATTTCTGATGTTCTACCAACTATATTTGGAAAGCAACTCAAGACTTTCTTGTGTGTCATTTTGTTAAAACTGTTGTATTGAGTTTGGGGATATACGTGTACATTTTTCCTACATAAAAACAAAAACAAAAAACCAAACCTGTTACCCTTGAGTCAATTCCGACTCATAGAGATCTTATAGGACAGAGTAGAACTGCCCCATAGGTTTCCAAGGAGTGGCTGGATTCAAACTGCTGACCTTTTTTTGTACATGAACATATTGAAATATATGTAACCATTGCTGTTGAGTTGATTCTAACTCATAGCAACCCGACAGGACAAACTAGAACTGCCCCACAGGGTTTCCAAAGCTGTAATCTTTATGGAAGCAGACTGCCACATCGTTCTCCCAGTAGAGCGTCTGGTGGGTTCAAACCAACAACTTTTCAGTTAACAGCCAAGCACTTAACCACTGCACCACCAGGGCTCCTTGAAATATATGTACATTCTATAATATTTAGCCTCCACCAGACTGAGTCCAGCACAACTAGACAGTGCCTGGCTACCACCACTGACTACTCTGATAGGGATCACAAAAGAGGATCCCAGTCAGAGTTGGAGAAAAATGTAGAACAAAATTCTCACAGACAAAAAAAAAAAGACCAGACTTACTGGTCTGACAGAGACTGGAGAAACCCCAAGAAAATGGCCCCTGGACATGCTTTTAATTCAGTACTGAAGTCACTCCTGAGGTTCACCCTTCAGCCAAAGATTAGACAGGCCCATAAAACAAAACAAGACTAAATGGGCACACAAGCCCAGGGGCAAGGACAAGAAGGGAAGAGGGGACAAGAAAGCTGGAAATGGGGAACCCAATGTCAAGAAGAGAAAGTGTTGACATGTCGTGGACGGTGGCAACCAATGTCACAAAACAGTATGTGTACTAATTGTTTAATGAGAAAGTAATTTGCTCTCTAAACCTTCATTTAAAGTGAAAAAAAAAAAAAAAATCTGCCCTTTTCCAGTCTGTTCACCCACTATACTGTTGGCTTCTGCCTTCCTCTTCCACCAATATGGACACTGTTTTCTATTAATCCTGAACTTCTGACCATTTCTGAAACAAACGACCTCTTCAGAACTCTGTGCTTATACAAGTACTACTAGTCCCTCTGCCTGATAGGGCTTTTCACCCAATAGAACCAGCAAACTCCAACTCATCCTTCCAAAGCCAGTTGATCTCTTCCACAAGGCTTTTCTCCTGCTCCTCTAGGTAGAGTTAGTCTGCTTCCTCCAGGACCAAAGTAATTTTTAAAATTTCTGTTCCAGCATTCATTTTGCTTTTTACATTGAAGTCTTCCCCAGCAGCAATTCCTAGTCATCAGTTTTTTCCCAGTGCCCAGAATGATAATTGTGGCGTGCATAATGATGATCAGAAGGGCAACTCTTTTATTTTGGAGAAAAGGCACGTATCAGGTCAGTTAGTAGAAAAACAATGTAAGTCAGTGAATTTCTGGGGAATGGATATATATAGTCAAAATAAGGATGGAGAGGCTGCAGAATGTTTACATTCTTGCAATCACAGAAGCAAGGTAAGCCAAGAACACAGTTGGAATCTACCCAGATGGAACAGAAGCTCCCACAGAACTGAATTTAGCAAGCCCAGCTTCCAGCTGCCTGTCTGCTATCCCCTTTCCTGATGGTTTTGATATTATACAAATATTTTAAATACAAACTTGCAAATAAAGCACATAGTAATCAGATCCAGGGTGGTCCAGTTAGTGTCACACTTTGGGGAGGTCCTGGCATGAGTTTGGAAGAGCTTTGTGTGCCAAAGTAGTGAGGTCAAGGGTGAGTTATGTACAAAGTAGTTAACTTGGGCCCAGGCCCTTCAAAGAGCTTTTGGATACTGTTACCTAGAAGCTTCTCCTGGTGTTTTGGTTCCCTTCAGTTTTGTCAGTCTCCGCCTTTGTACTGATTTGGCTAGGGCAGCAATAAGCTCAGTTGCAGAGAATGACGTGAGATTGACTTTAGCCAATCACAGCAATCTGTTACCCCTTGGCAGTAATTGGTCTAGTCAGTGGACAGGTGACCCATTTCTGGCCAATGAGATGGAAGGGGAAGTCTACTGGGGTTTTTTGAAAATATGTTTCTCCTTAATAAGGGAGACATGTGAAAATAAAGCCCTTTTTGCTCTCCTTCCCTTCCTTCTTGCTTTGGATACTGTGGTGTTAGGATATGATGGGAGGAGTTGCTATAGCCATCTTGTAGCCATGAAGTGACAAGCCTGAGGGGAGATATTATCAAAATGCTGAGGATGGTGGAGAGGAAGGAAGGAAATAGCCTGGGCCCAGGAACATATCACTTAGCTACTTGTTCAACCCTGGAACTACCTGCCTTAGACTTTTTTTAAGTGAAAAATAAAAAGCCCTCATGGTTCAGATCACTGTAAATTAGGTAGTTTGTTACTTGAAGCTGAAATATTCCTGTTGTGTGCCGTCTAGTCAATTTCAACTCATAGCAACTCCACGTGACGGAGTAGAACTGCCCCATTGGGTTTTCTTGGCTGTAATCTTTATGGAAGCAAAGTGCCAGGTCTTTCTCCCATTTCCTAGAGGACCAAAATCAACACAGTTTGAATTGTTATTCTCATTGACACTGATGCCTTGAAACAGCTATGGGCTAGGCAAAGAGAGAAGCTCACACTCCTAGTGGCCGTCAGCCAGCCAGGGACCAGGGCAATCGCATTATGACCTATTCAGGTTGATCTTCCCAGAAAGTCATCAGCCACTGACAGTAAATATTTGTTGAATAAATGAATGAAAGGACAAAGGAAATCCAAGAACTAGAAGGAGAAATAAAGGGGTTTGTTGTAGACTGAATTATGTCCCCCAAAAAGAAATGTGGAAGTCCTAACCCCTGTATCTGTAAATATAATTCTGTTTGGAAATAGAGTTTTCTTTTGTTGTGTTAATGAGGTCATATCAGAGTTGAGGAAGAAAAAAAAAAAACCCAAACCCATTGCTGTGGAGCTGATTCTGACTCATAGCGACCCTCTAGGGCAGAGCAGAACTGCCCCATAGGGTTTCCAAGGAGAAGCTGGTGGATTCAAACTGCCAACCTCTTTTTTAGCAGCTGAACTCTTAACCACTGCACCACCAGGGCTCCTACCAGAGTAGGGTGGGCCCTAAACCTAATCACTTATGACTTATAAAAAGAGCAGGATAGGCACAAAGACACACACACAAGGGGAAGACAGATACCAAGGAACACCAAGGAATGTCAAGTCACCAGAGATTAGGAGACAGGTCTGCAGAAAGATATGACATGGCCAAGATCCTGATTTGGACTTTTAGCCTCCAGAACCATGAGAAAATAAATTTCTGTTCTTTAAAGCTGTCATGAGATGGGCTATGATGGAGAAGAAGATGATGCTAGAGGAGCACATAGTAGGGATTTGACCCTGTCAGGAAGGTCATGGAAAGCCTTTGTAAAGAAGTGATGTGGAAGCTAAAATCTGAAGGATAAATAGGCTTTTACTAGGCAAAGGAAGACGGCAGAATGAGATTTATCTTTTTTGAGAAGATCCCTGTGGCTTCACTGAGGAGAATGAATGAGAGAGGGGCAAGGATAAACATCTGTAAGAGGCTATGGCAATCCTGCATTGGAGAGGCAAAGGCTGCCTGAGTTAGGAGTGGCATTGGTGGTTGGGAGAAGTGTCTGGATTTGAGAATTGTTTACGAAGTTCAATAGATTTGGCTTAGCTATGGATTAGTTGTGGGAGATAAAGGAAAGAGGGGTGACAAAGGGACTTCCGGGTTTCTGCATTACAGGATGGATGGTTGAGAGAGGGCATACTGGAAGAGGAACATGTTTATTTATGTTTGTGTATATGTGTAGGGGGAAGGACAGCAACAGAGAATGAAGATTATGGTTTTGATTTTTGATATGTTGGGTTTGAGGTTTTATTGAGTCTTCCAATATGAGATATTAAGTAGATCATTGATTATAAGAGTCAAAAGCTTAGAAAAGTGGCCTGGACTGGAGATATAAATTTGTTAATCACCTGTCTAGGTGCTATTTGAAAACATGGGAGTGGATGAAATTGCCTAGACAGAGAACACTGGTTTATCAGAAGAGAGGGTATAGAATTGGCTTTACGAAGCCTCAACATTTGGTGAAGACTAGGCTTGTAAAAGAGACTAAAACGACTGACTAGAGACTTTAGGGCAAAGCAGGAGAGCATGGTTTCACCTGGAAAGACTGTTTCAAGAAGAAAGGAGTGCTCAGCAGTATCAAAACTCCTGAAAAGGGACCAGAGAGCTGAAGAATACCAATTGCACTAACAGCATGGAGGTCATTGGTGATTTGTTGCAGGAGAAATGGGCTAAAAGCTGAGTGAGAAGGGATGAAATGCAAACATTGTGTGTAAAAAAAAATGAGAGAGTATTTTGGAGTGGGGCTGGAGGAGTTGAGAAAAAGGTTAATTGAACGTGTAACTTTTTCTAGAAGGTGAGAAGTAAGAGTTCACATAGGTGAAGAGATTGTTTTAAATGTTGTAGCAGGGGTGCAGACTTTAGTAAATTTGTATGTTTGGTTTCGGGGAAATAAAGGGCTTGGCTTCTATTTTCTCTGTAATAAAAGAGGGGCGATTAATTGCTTCTCTGAGTATTATTAATAACATGCTTTGTAAACTATTTTATATGTAGATGGATGCCTTAGCTCTCCAGATATATATAGGTAAATATGTCAGTGTTTACAGCGCTGGGAACAGATACAATAGGTGCTTAATAAATTTTGATTTGGATACTTATGATAATGATGATAAATGTGATGATGCCCTGATGACAGGGAAAAGGATAAGCTCCAATCAGACCCCTAACAGAAGGCGTCTGAAGGTGTGGGAAACGAGATCTTAGCACATGTCTTGGGATCCTAGGTAAGTCGGAGAATCACAGAAAACACAGGGAAGCGAAATCAACCAACACCCTTCTTCTCTGGGACCCTAAGAGTTAAGATCAACGAGAGGTAGCCATCACTGTTTCCTAGAGAGGCTCCAGCAAAGCCTGTCGGGGAAGGTCCGGCAACTTCCTGTTTCTGTCTTCCTGGTTTGAGAGTTTAGGACCCTGGGTTGGTGGGGTTGGAAGGAGTGGGGGTTTCCTTCCTCCTGGACAGCTGGGCCTGCTGGGGGTGCAGGGCGCCTTGTGTGTAGCTCCCAGAACAGTGAGTTCCTTCTGGGGGGGTCGGGAGCCGAGGGCTGCGGGCCGAGGAGTGGGAACAGCACCGCCCCGGCGGCCGTATCAGCCCCCGAGAGGAATCTCGCTGCTGCAAGGGGCAGAGGCGCCGCATCTTCCGCCAGACAGCGCCTCCCTCGCCTGCCGGGTTCCTATAGGATCTAATCGCTGGAGTTGATCTGGTCTCCTGGGACCTCACTTGTGGTCCCTCTGCCAGGGGTTCTTTAAGCTGAGCTGCAGGCAGTGCATTTTCTTAGGCAGGCTCTTCTGATCCAAACCATGACCCCACCCCAATCACTTGTTCGCTGTACGACGGTCAAAACTACCCTACTCTGTGGAATGACATCTTTTAATATCATTTATGACCTAAATTTTGCAGCCGTTTCGCTGAGCCAGTGTTCTCGAGGGATCCTCTACTACCAAAGTTAATAGAGAAAATGATGGACATTTTACCCAGACTCTTGGATCCTTTGCGTATACGTTGATAGAATGATGTAATTCAGACAGCAAAACGTATTACTTCATTTGAACAAGTTTCTTTCTCTCTCTGTCCCTTTCTTTTTTGTTTTGCATTTAGGGGTGTGTGCGCGCGCGTGTGTTCACTCAAATACCATGGGGATATTTTAAATTAGATAGTTTCACCTTTTCTCATAACAAAGTCCCAGCTTGCTGGGTGTGCTTAGGGAACACAAACTCATACTGGTATGAACTCTAGGGAGGTAAATCTGTTTTCTAAAAATTCAGTCAATTCAGTCAATATATTCCAAAATAAAGGTATTCTGAGGATCATTTGCAGTCGGGGGTTATGCCCAACTCTACTTCCTGCTCTAGTTTACTGTAATAGATAAAAGAATGTGGACGTCAAGTCCAAAGGACTTGAGGCTTAATCCTGCTCACCACTTGCTGGTATGTGACCTTGGGAAACTTTCTTAACATCTTTTTTTACTCACCTATAAAATGCTGATAATTGTTCATACACTTCCGAGGGCTGTTGTGAGAATGAAATGAGAAATAATATGCATAAATTCTTTAGTTCACTACCTGGCACATAATAGGATGAAAATTATAAGTACACCAAGCTTTTTTCATACGTGTGCCTTTGTTTATCCTTCTAGATTTTTATTTTCCACAAGTGATGCCATATTTAGATCCTCAAATGAATGCCAAGTCCATATACAGCTGCCTTCCAATGGCAAATCACATTTTATGGTCCCTTAAAGTATGTCAAAAGAGCCCTGGTGGCACAGTGGTTAAGTGCTCAGCTGCTAACCAGAAGGTCAGCAGTTGGAACCTCCCGGCCACTCCATGGGAGAAAGCCTCTGTAAAGATTTGTAGCCTTGGGAACCCTATGGGGGCAGTCCTGCTCTGTCCTATGGGGTGGCTATGAGTTGGAATTGACTCGGTAATGGGAAAATAAGTCAAAGATTGTGGTTGGTTCCAGACGATAAAGTTTAGGCTGAAATGGATATTGTAATTATTATAGATGTAAGAGGCAAGGAAAGAAGAGGTCCCTCTTTAACCTCCTTTTTTTATTTAGGGATTATTGGTTATAATTAGTCCTTTCCTGTTTTTTCCTAATTTCTTGTTACTGATTTTATAAATTCTAACTTTTCTTTGAGATTGACTTCAGAGTTTTCTTCCTTCTGTCAAGGACCAAGTCATTCTTTTGAAACTAAACAGAATGCTTTCTCTTCTCTTTCCTTTCTAAGCTTCTTGCCATATATTTATTCTAAAATGCTTCTTATGCCTGCATATTGATTCCTTACAGTTTTTATAAGTTTTATTGGTGGTGCCTTCTTCAAAAAAAACTTTGTTTTTTCAATTAAAAGAACATACCGGTGTTTCTAAGCTGTGGTGAGCAATAAGTGTTAGTATTCTTATTTTTTTCAAACTTAATCCTCAGAACTTCAACGTGAAAATTTACATTTTTTATTGTTATTTCCTTAGAAAAGTTAAATTGGATTAACTGTTAATTCTAAACATTTGCCTTTGAGAGAAGATTTTCTAAAAGGATTATGACCATTTTTCTTATTTTCAGTGTGCGGCACAGAACGTTCTGCGCGTACAATTGTTATGTTGCAACAGCTGGAAAGAAAAGAGGAAGAATAAGTCTTAATAAATGCTGCCAAACATGACCTGTTTCCTTCTACAAGAGTTCTGATCCCTAACCTGGCTGTGATCATTACGATGGAGCAAGAGAAAGAACTGTTAGTCTCAGATTCTAATGGCTTCAAGGAGAGAAAGAGTTTGAAAAACCCTTATACAGGTGAGGGATTAAGAAGATGATCTGAATCCTTAGGAAATTCCGTATTATATGGTGTAAGCTAGGTAGTGTTGTAGAAAGAACAGGGCATTAGAATGAGACAGACTTTAATTCCTTGCTCTGTCACTTACAAGTTGTGTTAATTGCTTCAACCTCAGTTTTCTCACCTTTAAGAAAAAAAAAGTGATAATATCTGTCTGATTTTTTTAGGATTAATGAGATAACATATTCAAGCTACTGTTCTTTATAAATTGTGGCTATCATTGTTATTTCTATATTTTCTCAGATTTTAACTAAGGTATTGTCTAGTTTTCACCTCAGATTGGATCCTACCCAGTTTCTCCTCTACTCAGATCTCCTTTTTTTTTTTTGAGAATAAAGTTTAATGCACTTACTTTTAGATTAACAGTCCTCTTGGCAATTGGTGACAACTGTTCAAATACATAAGTGTTGCTACTAAGTACAAAAATTTCACCATAAAAATGTTTTAAGTGACCTGCTTCTGGTGAACACATAGAATAAAACAAGTAAAACTAGCTTACAAAACTTTTTTCTGTAAAATAATTTATGAAGTTTTACTGTGCTGTTCCCTGTCTTCCATTGCAATTCAGAATTTCCTTTCCTCTGGCAGAGATTAGGGAATATGTTTAGAATATTTCTTTCTTCTTTCAGGAGATGAGAGTAAGAATCATTTGGAAACTGTTCAACACAATAACCCTAAAACAAATAAACTTAAAGAGAAACCCTCAAAGTGGTGTAAAAGAGATGGCCCGCGAAATTCTAAGCATGAGGATACAAAAGAAACTCTGTTGGCATTGTCTAAAGGAGATGAGATTTGGTGTCTTGATTCCTGTGAGAATAATGGCAAGTCAGAGAGTCAGTGGGAAAATTCTATAGGAAAAGAGGAGGAAAAGTCCGATCATTGGGAATGGGACCTAGGAGAACATGCCAGTTTCTCCACCAAGAAGAATAAACCCTCTGGAGGCAAACCCTACAAATGTCCTGAATGTTGGAAAAGTTTCAACAATAGTTCTCATCTGCGTATTCACCAGAGGACCCACTCAGGAGAAAAACCTTATAAATGCTCTGTGTGTGGAAAATGTTTTAGTAACAGCTCTCACCTGATTCAGCATCTGAGAACACACACAGGAGAGAAGCCCTACCAGTGTGGTGAATGTGGGAAAAGCTTCAGTAATACCTCCCATCTTATTATTCACGAGAGAACTCACACAGGAGAGAAACCCTATAAATGTCCCGAGTGTGGGAAGCATTTCAGTAGTAGCTCTCACCTTATTCAGCATCACAGATCACATACAGGTGAAAAACCATATGAATGCCCTGTATGTGGGAAATGCTTCAGCCACAGCTATGTCTTGATAGAACATCAGAGGACTCACACTGGAGAAAAGCCTTATAAGTGCCCTGATTGCGGGAAGAATTTTAGTCAGAGTTCCAGCCTGATTCGCCACCAGCGGACACATACAGGTGAGAAGCCCTACAAGTGTCTGGAGTGTGGAAAAAGCTTTGGTTGTAATTCTACTCTAATAAAGCATCAAAGAATACATACAGGAGAAAAACCCTACAAGTGCCCAGAATGTGAGAAGAATTTCAGTCGAAGTTCAAATCTTATTACACACCAGAAAACACACATAAGAGAGAAATCCTATGAAAGTTCTGAACGTGAAGAAAGCTTGAGTCAGGACTGCAATATGATAGAAGAATGCGGAATCCAGCCAGGAGAGAAACCATATAGATGCTGTGAATGTGGAAAGAGTTTTAGCCTTAGTTCTCATCTTATTAGACATCAGAGAACACATACAGGAGAGAAACCTTACAGATGTTCTGAGTGCTGGAAAACTTTTAGTCAGAGTTCCACCCTGGTGATTCACCAAAGGACACACACAGGGGAGAAACCTTATAAATGTCCTGATTGTGGTGAATGCTTCAGTCAAAGCTTTAACCTTATCAGGCACCGCAGGACCCATGTAGGAGAAAAACCTTACAAATGTGCTGACTGTGAAAAATGCTTCAGCAGAAGTGCCTACCTCAATCAACATCGGAAAATTCACATAGAAAAGTCTTTTGAGTCTCCTGAAGTTGATTTTCTGCATGAGTGGACTTGGAAAAACTGTTCAGGGGAAATGACCCTCATCCCTTCATTTTCAGTTCCAAATTCATCTTCCTGTTGAATCCCAAAGTCTGTTTTTTGTTTTTTTTTTTTAAATTGGACCATTACAACTAAGGTACTATGAACTTTGTGCTACAAATTGTCTTTGGTGTGTTTGCAAAAATGTCTGGAAGAGAAGTCAACCTCCCAGTTTAGAGGATGGAAGACACAGATAACTATGTCATTGGATGTGTCCAGTGGAAGATACCACCAAGAATGAAGAAAAAGAAGAAATTGTTATTTTGTTTTATTTAAAATGATAGGAATACCTTCAAAGGAAAGTGTAAAGAGTAATCCTGGGAATAAGCAAAAGGACACCTGAGATCTTGAAGCTAGGGTTTCCACTGAGTTACCCTATTTTCCCTTGCCTTACTGGGTGGAGATAGATTATTACTGGCCCCTGGAGTTTGGCCAGAGAAAGATTCTTTTGAACAAATAATGTGATTTCTGGCTGTTTTGTTGAATTCTAAGAAAGAAAAGACTCATTTAAATGCATTTTTATTTACTTAAAACTTTTGTAGCATCTAGAACTCCACTGTCAGATAGCCTCTAGCCACATGTGGCTATTTAAGTTTATATTCATTAAAAATCCAGTTTAAAATTTAGTTCCTTTGTCATACTAGCCACATGCCAAGTGCTCACTAACCACATGTGATTGGTAGCTCTTTTATTGGACATCATCACACTTCTTTCTTCCAAAACCATTATTCTTGACAGACTTGTAAATATTTCCTATAACACTAAGAAGTGCACTCTGGGGTTTCTACTCTTCAGTGAGACTACAATATAGAGTAAAAACAATAGAATTTTGAAGCCACTGGGTCTAGAGATTGGCTGTTCTAATGACTGGATGTTTTAATTTACGTTCAACCGACAGTGATGGGCCCATTGTCTCTTGGCCAAAACCAAATTAGGAGGCAAGATTCTTGAATTCTGCTCTTAAATTGTTGATAGTTATTTCCTCTGAGTTTTCTTGTTCCCTTTTGTAATTCTTGGTCAGATCAAAAAGTGAGTTCTTTTTATAATAATTAACCCACTGATTCTGAGCCAGTATCCAGGAGCAGTTTGCCATTGGAAACAAGACTCCTGAGTTCCAGTCTTGGCAGTTAGTGTTCTTTTGCCTATGGACTTTGTTGGTATATGGATCTGATAACTCAGACCTCATCTTCCCTACTTGTCTGTCCTATAGGAATGATGCTTTGAAAAGTATTTGCTATTTCCTATTCCCTCCCTCATTTTTTCTTGCTATTGGAAAAGGTAGATGTGCAGGAAGGGCAAGAATCTTGAGATGCCCAGAATTTCTTCTCATTTTTGGATTCAAAATACATTTTATGGAGAATATAGTACAGATGCAAATTAGGAGTGTGGAGCCAGATAGGGCCAATTATAGCTGCTGCAAATGGCTGTAGCTGGTGGGTAACCGAATTGCATGGGGATTATTTCTTCTTTCATGATTGTAGTGCATCTGACTGGCCAGGCAATTGTGTTTTTTTGTATTGCTATATGATTAAAAAACAACAAAAACTAATAAAATAAATGTATTTAAGAAGTGCTTGGGGATGATTTTCTGCTTTCAAAAACGGGAAACATTGAGCATTACAGCTTTTATGTGACCTCAGCCTAAGCATCATTATATGTTTGTATGTTATATACAACCAAACCAATCATCGTGAGTTGATTCTGACTCATGGTAACCCCATAAGTATCAAAGTAGAACTGTGCTTCCTAGGGTTTTCAATGTCTCATTTTTTGGAAGTAGATTGCTAGGCCTTTCTTCTGGGTGGACTTGAACCTCCAGCCTTTACTAGCAGCCAAATGAGTTAGGCATTTGCACCACCCAGGGACTCCATATGTATCGCCCAAATTGTCTAAAACTATAATATCTGAGGACCAGTTTTGATAGTATTTGTTGCTACAGACAACTAAGAGTTTGATTAATGTTTAATAATTAAATTTGAGGCACTGCTATTGAGGCTGGAATTCAGTTGTAAGGCAGCAGCTGTTGGGGTGGTGCAAAATCTTTGGTCATGTGATCTCTGGCAAATTACCCACTCTGAACCTCAGTTTCTTCATCTGTAAAGCTGAGATAATGTATACCTTACAGGGTTGCTTTAGGGTTAAATAAATGTTTGCAAAGCATCTAGCACAGTACTTAAAATATAACAGGCCCCAATAAATGGTAGTTGATGATGATGATGATTATTAACTGAAGCTAAGTGGGAAATGTGATCCACAAATTTCTAAAATAGTAGCAATACATCGACATATTTAGGTATGCAGACCCAAAACCACTTTTATTTGATTCAGCTTGTTTACAACAGGGAGATCATTTTAGTGGAATTATTTTTGTTCATGAAACAAAGGATTCTGTTTAAATCTGGAAAGGAGAAGAAAAATGTAGCAAGTTCAATTTAAGTTCATTTGCATCTGAAAAGATTAAGAAGTAAAATTTATGTCCTATGATCATACCTATAAGATGCTTTATGACTGCCACAATAATATAAAAAACATGTTCACAAACCTTGATGCCTATAGGAATGTAGACATTCATATTTTAGATGGGTTATTCTCCATTAGTAAAACAATTTGGCAAGAGTCTGGATTGAAAATTAGGAAAACATAAGAGATTTGTCACAATGGAGAACAGAGCATGGTTAAATTTAATCATATTTGACACCTTTGCCTCAATTTAATTAATCAGCAAATAGGTTTTTTTGTTTAGCTCCATGAGAAGAAAATATTCTGTATTTTCTGTTTTCCTTGCTAGCACAAAGGATTGAGCACCTGAATAAATAAAGCATTTATTTACAAGTGATTTGTTTCATAGTTTCTTTTTAATTAAAGGGAAGACTCTTATTTTCATATTTTTTCCTACTCAAAGAAGGAGCTCATATTTTTTTTCCTATTAACGGGAAGGGGAGATCCATTTCAATGCACATCTTTACATATGGAGCAGGGAACTTATTCCCTACCTGCTGCACCACCTACCAGAACATATGCAAGCATAATTTACAGACTTGAGGTAAAGGTTTGCTCCCCTCATCCCAAATCATCCCAGTTGATTCTACCAAATGGGCTTTCTCCATAGTGCTCTAGGAGTTCCCTCACTGATGGTGAGAGGTAGTGGAGTATGATTCTGTGATTACTGGCCTTATATGTTAGTCCAACATACTCATCTTGGCCAGTCTCTCACTTTCTAAAATAACAGAACTGGTATTACATCTTTCTTCTGCATTTGAGTTTATATAACTGATTTCATTCATTCAACGGACATTTACCTGGTGCTTAACACATATTAGACGTTCTTTAGCAGTGGTCTGGTGATAGTGAGGGGCAAATGTAAGGATGGAGCACTGGTAGAAAAACTTGTAGCTTTTCAGATGACTACTTTCTGTTTGCCAACTCTGGAACTGTGCTTATTGAGCTGAACCCTCCATCTTCATACTTAATAATTTGATAATCTGAGGAGCTAGAGATAAATATAGATTAAAGTGAATCAGATTGGCTTTATGAAAATGCAAACTCTGTGAAGTATGACAGTGCTTTGCACTTAGTGGTGCTCAATAGTTATTGAGTAGATGTCATATGTTTATATGTTTTATGCTAATGTTCAAGAGTATGCCCTTACAGGGTATACATTATCTCATTGATTATGCTCCTACTTAGACTGTAAACTCCTTGAGTCCAGTGAATGGATTTCATTTTTGTAGCCCCAAAGCCCAGCCTGGCATGTGCCGTGTTCACTGATTGTGGTTGAAGAAGTGAATGAATAAATGAAGTCTACTGGGTTAGGCTGTATAGTCTCAGCATCTCCTCAGTCTTCTCTAAACTTTTCCTTGATCTAGCCCACAGAGGCTGAGCTGGCTTGGAAGTGAAAGTGGCTGCTCTGGGAAGTTGGGGGTATCCTCAGGCTAACCCTAACCAAAAACACCACCATACCCATTGCTTTTGAATTGATTCCTGCTCATAGGACAGAGTAGAACTGCCCACAGGGTTCCCAAGGCTGTAACTCTTTAGGGAAGCAGACTGCCACATCTTTCTCCTGCAGAGTGACTAACGTGTTCAAATTACTGACCTTTCGGTCGGTTAGCAGCCAAGCATTTTAACCACTTTGCCACTATAGAACCAAAAACCAAACCCGTTGCTGCTGAGTTGATTCTGACTCATAGTGACCCTATGGGACAGAGTAGAATGCTCCATAGGGTTTCCAAGGAGTGCCTGGTGGATTCAAACTGCCAAACTTCTGGTTAGCAGCCAAATTCTTAGCCACTACGCCACCAGGGTTGCTGCCATAGAGGACCCTTAAAATGGCCTGACTCTTCAGAATCCTGTGGAGATGTAACACCCTGGGCTTTGGAGTCAGACTATCTAGGACAGGTTCAAAATATGGTTTGAAATTTATATTTCAATCACTTACTAGCTTTGTACTCTGAATTTACCTTGTAAGATTTGGTAAGCATCGAATGAAATGAGGTACCTGGCATATTGGAGGTGTTAAGAAATAACTGATTTCCTTCCCTGTCCACCCTCATTCTCATACTTTTGCCAAGGATAGCCTCAAGGCCCAGGAGTGCCTAATCGTTTCTTAGACTGGTTATTTCTAGGTTTCTAAAACAGATTAATAACACTTAGTTCATGGGTTTGCTGTGAGAATCAATGAGATAATGTACAAAATGTGCTTAGCTTTGCTTGTACCTAAGAATCACTCCATTAATGTTAGCTATTTTAATAATCATTATAAAGTGGCTCTAGACCATGTTGGATCATCTTTGAAAGTACCCTTAGAGACGTGGGTTGGGGCACTGGACACCCACGAAAGTGGTGCCTTTCTTTTTTTTATTGTTTACCTCATGAACATGAAGAGGCATGAATAGGAGCATGTAGCAAGCTGCTCAGGAAGCTAATAATGTAGCACATCATTATTGTAATGTGGCAGCTACTTGAGCAACGACCACCTTTTCTGTTTAAAAATTACCCTACCTTTCACCTTCCTAGCTCTTTTTTTTTTTCTTTTCTTTTACTGCTTTCCGGAGCTAACCTCTTCTGCCGTGTCCATCCATGTTCTAACCCAAATTTAGGCTTTTTTCTACCATTTCATTCTGTTCCCCCAACCCTTACAGTAAAGTAAGTTGGAATCAAGCCAAAGCTGAGGACAATCCGGATGGTGGGGTTTGGATATAAAGAAGCAGATGAGATATGGATGTCTGGCCGTTATGACATCATGGGCACACGGCTGCTTGCAAACACAGACAGCTAGGGGACACCAGGACAGCCCAGTTGCTGATTTAACATTATTTGATTTAGGTAAAATCAGTAGACATTCTAGGATTTGTTTGATAGGGTGAGAGATGGAGGGCAAACTTGGTTGAAAATAACCATGATTAATTTTGAGCCAATTAAAGAGCTAAGTCATGGATAAATGGTCAGATTAAAGAAAATATTAGTTGATTAGATTGACAAACACAGGTGAAAGATTTTTTTTCCCTTAAAATAAATTATTTTCTCATCATTAAAGTAATACTTGCTAATTGCAAACTATACGAAGAAGTATAAACTAGGAAATGCATAAAAATATGAAGACCAAAATAAAAATGACCCATAGTCATTCTTTCTAGAGATCATTCACTATGAAAGTCCTGGGTTCTTTCCCCAACAATCCCTTTTCTAAGCCTATAGATAAATAAATATTTTTAAAAATTGGATCTTGTGGTATATATATACACACACACATATATATATGTAGTGTTGTCTTGATTTTCTTACCTTTATCGTGTCATTTTACTTGTTTTAGAATTAACTTATGAGGTTTTTAAGGGCTTCATAATATTATACTGAATGGATGTGCCATAACAATTTAACTGTTCTAATATTGGATGTTTATATCGTTTTTAGTTGTTTACTACTGAAAATAACTGCCTTGAACTAGGCTTTTTTTTTGTACATAAATATAAGTGTACATCTCTCTCCCCTTAGGATGAATTCCTACATGTGAAATTACTGAGTCAAAGAGCATAAATGCTTTTACAGGCATATTACCTGTTTTCCAGAAATGTTTATCAATGCAGATTACTCCAGTGAATTCTATTTATTAAATGCCTTTTCCTGGGAAAGAAAAACATGTAGTTCAAGGCCCAATATATTAAAATGACGAAAGCCTTTTTTTAAGGCATTTTGTTTGGATAGGTTTTTTTTTTTTTTCCTTTTTTAAATTTTTCTTTGCTTTGTATCAACTGAAATTCACTTTCGGTTAAATTGATTGAGCTAGTTCAATTTTTCCTTGTACTGTCCTAGGTACTGTTCTAGGCACCCGTTCCAGTGGGCGTCACTTCAGAGCAGTTCCAAGAAAATGAGATAAGGCCCAAAGCCTGGGCTATCAAGAGGAAGAATGGCTGAGGAGGGGTCTAGGTGAGTTGGTTAAATATATGTATTACTTTCTTTTCATTGGCTTCTGGACCAAATTGCCACCTGATGCAGAAAGTAAAGTACAGCCCAAATATAGGGGCCTAAGTTAAATTCAGGTTTAGCAAATGGCTGATTATCTTTCAGGTTTTAAAACTGGTGTCAAAGGTAAAGCAGAATGGAGACTTATGAAAAGATGCCAAGTTAGACTGCTCAGAAAATTAGAACCATTGTCTTTCCAGTCCTATGCTATCCACAATTCAGTGAGAAACATATTATTGCTGGCTGCACACATT